GTGATTGAAAAGTAACTCCATTTTAAAATACTTATAATTTATTTAGTAACTATAATTTTTTTTTGCAAGAAATGGACGTTAGAGGAAAGCATTCAGCATGAGGTTTTACTTAAAATTCGATATTGGCACCAGATTCCGCAACCAGCATCTTGAGCTGCCCAGGAATTGTCAACTGATTTTACCAGGAACTTTTGTGGTATGGAAGACATAACTTATTGTATTTGGCCTTCAAGTTCTTTTAGAGTCTTGGTTTGATATAGTAGGCTTGCTCCTTTAACCAACCCCAAAGAAAGAACTCACAGAGTATTAAATCAGGACTCCTGGCTGGCTACTCATACACCAAATGCGAGTTACTTTTCAATCAATATATATATATATATATATATATATATATATATATATATATATATATATATATATACACACACACACACACACACACACACAGGAAAAGAAAACAATATTGTGCCCCACTTTAAAACCCACTTAATGAAAGCTTTAACATTCTAACTCTTAAAAGTTCAAGAATATAAATTACCAAATAACATTTATGGAAATGTGTGGATGTGTGTAGGTGGGTGGTAGGTGTCTGTATTTGCCTCAACACAATTATTAGGAAAGAATTATTGTCTCCAACATCAGCCATGATAAAAGTCATCAACCTGATCTTTTATGAATCAAATCCCAAACAGTCATTATAGTGTAAGTTTTTTTTTCTGTTTTATTAAGTCACAATACATGTGAGTTTTAAAATAACAGAAAATGATACAATCCAAAATGATAAACTTTTTTTTATGTCATCAAGAAAAATGTAAATTAGTTTCTTCAGTAATTTCACCCATACTTAAATACCTATCAGCAAATAAGTTAGTTATTTTTGTAAAAATAATATCACATTTAAAATATGAACATTTTGAATAAATTACTTTAAAATCAAGGTTAAATAATAAAGAAAATTTTAAGGAAATCTATGACAAAGTGGAAAAAGTTTTCATGTGACACATTTTGTCCTTTTTATTTAATAATGTTTAAGTTGATGTGGTTACGCATATACATGAAGGAGAGAGAATGGCAAATTTCCAAATTTAAATTTGGGAGCTTTTTGGGTTTTAATTTTTTTTTAAATATATGTCCCAGGGACACAGTGCAGCTGACCTCATTTAACTTTCCCTCTCCTTCTGTTTATGCTTTCAGTACTTTTGTTATTAAATAATCCTATTTTGCAATAATAGAACATCTGCCAAAAGGTGAAATACTGCAAGAACCTGGACACAAACTCACTATGGATGATCTAGTGCAAGGGTTCTCAACAGGAGTGAAATTCACCCCCAGGGGTGGATCTTGGATTTTCAGGGGTGAATTGTGACCAAAGTAAGTTTAAGAGGTGGGGAGGAGAGCAATTATAGAATCTGACTTATCTGGCCTGTCACCTTGAAAAGAAGGGGGGGGATAGCATTCTGACAAACAGTGAAAGGGGTGAATAGGGGGCAAACAAGGCTGAGAACCCCTGACCTCTAATGATTAAAGTATTTTCTATACATTTTCATCCCAGTAAATTGCTTTCTCCTTTAAAGAAAAATTTTTTTTTAAAAAAAATCAAAATTATTGTCAGACTCATCATAGTGAGCAACTAACACACAGAGCTTTGTAAAAGATTCCCTTTATATACATACAATCTTTTATTTAAATTCCTTAAGGTTTCCCCTTTGTATTTCTTGTGACACCCATCACAGGGGATAGAGAAAATTCCTCCAAGTTTTAGCTTATTTTGTTTTGTATTAATTCTTTTGTTTTAAACATAGTTATAACAAATTTTATATTAAACCTTTTCAACCTTGTCATAGATTTGCATAAAATTGTTCTGGACACAAAAATTTATATCGTTTTCACATACTGTATATATAATATATGAAGAAAACAGTATATATTTATATATCGTTTTCACATACTGTATATATATATGAAGAAAACAGTATATATTTATATATCGTTTTCACATACTGTATATATAATATATATGAAGAAAACAGTATATATTTATATATCGTTTTCACACACAGTAAAAAAGATCTAGAGAGAATTTATTTCCGCTCTATCAAGCTAATGAATATTTAACCCCATATTGACAAACATTTTTAATGAATATCATGTTTGCTAGTGCATACTGTATGCATATCATAAAGGCAGTAATAAAACACTGTGTTGTTTACATAGGTGCAGTAACAGAGTTTATACATAAGAGTGATGATATAACAAGTTCAAAAAGAGATAGTGATAAGCCTTGTTCTTTGAAGACCAACCACTTTGAACAATGACTTTTGAAGGAATCTTCTCATCAAAGCACCAAAATTTTAGTAACAAGGCACAATGCATTATGTTGAACTGGACAAAAAAAAAACATTGCAAACAAATTGGAAAAAAAACCTCGAATTTGACTTCAACATTAACTCTCACCAGAGAATTGACAAAATAGTCAAACATTTGCAAAAGCCTTGTTAACCAGGAATTAAAAAACTTTTTTTTTTTTGCAACAGACTATTATAATGGGTATTGCATTATAAGAAAAAAAAAAGAAAAAAAAAACAAACACAAAAGGCCACAAATTTCCTTTTGTCAAACAAACTGTACCACTGAAACTTCATCTACAGATTTTGTTCTGCATCTGATGAAACATGACAGGTTTTGTCCATGATAGAAAATGGATTCTATAGAAATGATCCCTGCAGACCTTTACTGTTAACAGCTTAAGTGTACAGAAAGTGCAGAACACCAGGCATGCACGGCTTTGGTGAATGAAAAAGGTGTCATCCTCTAGTATGACAATGCAAGGCCTAAAATCAAATCCAGGAGAAAAAGTCATTAAACCAGCAACTTTTACCTCTTTCTCTATACTCACCAGATCTAAAACTTTGAGCTTATAATTTGTTTTTCATTATTAGAACAGTCTCTTCATGCCATGACATTCAGAAATAGAAAAAAGATATCAGTTTAGCCCTGTCTTTTTTTTCTTAAATCAAAACCCCCATTATAGAAATTAAAAAATAGTAAAACAGAAATGTAAAAAATAAATGCTTTTATGTTGAGTTAATTATAATGGCTAATAATCGCAATCATGTCATTAATTCAAAAACTGTAACTGGAATAAATTTTCATTCATTTTATCTATCAAAAAGAAAAGTTGTATTTTTCCAAATTAATATAAGAATTTTAAAAATATATAACTGATAAAAACTGTAAACAGATGAACTGTTCAGCAGAATTGCTGCACATCAAATACCTTAGATTATGCAGATTTAAATATATATACACTTATACTAATTTAACAATGGTATAAGACAATAAGTTAAATTTATTGGAATGCAAATGGTACAAGATTTTGATGTGAAAAATCTATTCTTATAAATAATAATAATTTATGGAATTCCTTAAAAAATATATTTCAAAATGAAGAAGTAGATAAATTGATTTAAGATAAAAGGAATCAGTACTTAAGTATTAGGAATTTTTTGCATACTTCAAGAAATGATTTGAAAAATACATGATGCAAACATAAGTACAGAAGACTAATTACTTAAATTCATTAAGTTTATTCTCAGATTTTATTTTAATGAGAGAAAAAAAATGTTTGAGAAAGAGTTTTATATTTAGCATATAATTTTGTTTTGATTTTATGGTTGGAGGAAAGACTGAATAAATTTTTTTAAAAATTGATAAAATTCAATAAAAATCTACTTTCCAGAAGAATTTTGCTTATATCTAAAGTAAATCTTGCTTATATCTAAAGTAAATAAAAAAAAAAAAAATCAAATCCATTTAAACGCTTTTTCTGATTAAAAGCTTTTATAGTTTATCATACATTTCCTGCTGAGGTTCCAAAGATTGATTTTTACTTTTTAAAACCTAAAAAGATATGTTATAAAATCCAAAATCTGAAGAAAATTAACTACAATTATATATCAATGTTTTTAATTGTGATTAGATTGATGTATATGTGGTACCTCTCTGTGTTTAGTTGTGTTCTGCAAATTATTCTATTGCAAGAGTAGGTTTGCACAAATGTGTGCATTTGAGTGTAGATATTTAAATAGTATACAAAAGTTATATGGAAAATTTAAAAAAGCCAGAATAGGAAGCCAAAAAGCAACATGAAACCAAGAACTAGAAAGTTGTTAAGCTAAGTGTTTTGTGCAAATAATCAGAGCATGTCTGCTGAGGTGAGGAGGGAGCCTGAGAGCAAAAGATGTCTCAGGCAGCATTCCTTGGTGGAAGCCAGAAATGTGAAGATAACCAAAACAAGTGAAGTGCTGGTCTGGCTAACAGTGAGATGGAAACGAAAGAAATGAAAGGTCAAAGTAAAGTCCTATACAGAATATCAACAGAGCACTGCACCAAGAAAAACTGCTAATAAATCATCATCATCATGGCACAAAAGAATGGAGTGTTGTGTTGAATAGTAAGAATTAACTTCTTAAAAAAAAAAAAAAAAAAAAAAAACTTTGATTTTGTTCCTCCGCCCACACACAATCACCTATCATAAGAACACCAGAAAAATGCACATACAAATGCATGATATTAAACACATGCAAACAATGATGCATCTCTAGCCTATGATGTTTAGATACACACAAGTCCACAAACACACCTTATTATGAATATAGATAGACAGCAGTACCATCATGATGTAGACATGATATACATACACCCAGAAATGTCAACATGTATTAATTGATTTGTTTTTTTCTTTATGACTTATCAACCTTTTCCTCATTATTTAAAGCCAGAAAATAATTTTAGATTTTAAGAATCTTTTGGAGATGATAATGATTTACTGATACAAGTCTTACTAATTAACCCATAGCTGAAGGGAGAAGAGATGGATTCATACCTTTCCCAGGGGCATTTGTGCATAAGTGAATATAACGAACCCAACAGAAATTGAACTTGGATCTCCAATTTCCAATTCCAAGCCACCATCCATTACACCACCTGCACATCTAAGTTTACAGCACCTAGTATTCCCAAATGGTCACCCATCTAGGTACTGACCAGGTTCCATGTTGCTTAACTTTGGTGATCATACAAGAACCAGTGTTTCAACATATTGCCATAAACCATGCACACATGTAACCTAACAGGCTAACATATCCATATAGACATATGCTCATGATCAAGTTAGAAAAATTATATTTTACACACATACAGAGATTGTAATACACATACACACTCACAACATCTGCAAGACTTCATGCATTAATTCTCCATTTAATGATTTTTAAATAATCACAAAAGTAACTGGATTTCATTATTGCTATTTTCAAAGTGGTCATATTTATCAAAATATTTCAAATGTGAAACATTGCTCATGTAAATATCAATGCAGATGTAATCAACTGAAGCAACTATTCTTTATTAAGTAGAGAACAATTCCTTCTCAAAGACGAGATTAACCATTCTTGTTATTTTAACTAGTCTTTCTTTCACCCTATTTTTTTGCTTTTCATCACAACTTTCAGACTATCAATGCCATTACTATTAAACAAACATTATGGATTAACAAGGAATAAGCTTTCAGCAAGATTTGAACTTGCATCTCTAGTCCTTGGGAGCCTAAATTTTAATTTGATGTTGACGTTTGATTGTCACCAAGCATTATTTGCTTCATTTATTTTTTTTAGATTCTTTATGAAAAATTTTAAAATGTGACAGAAAAATATATAAATGCTGCAAGCATGAAAAATGATTAGTACACTGAATATAACTCCTAAAATTAAACATTTAAAAGTTTACAGATTTTTAAATATTTAAATTTAACCAATTGAGGACATAATCATTAAGAATTTATGAAGAAAAAATTTGAGATACAAAATGTTTGCTTTTTGAAGCCATCAATCTTTACATATTGTCAGTGTTCAAAATCTAAATTGGAATATGTGGCTTAAAAAAGTGATAAAACTTATCTTAAATTATATATACAGCAACAATAAAAAATGTTTTCATATTGGAAATAAAATTATTAGTAATAAGTAATAATCCCAAATAAAAGATTCATTTTTTATTTCCATAAGTAATAATCCATCATTTTATTACCGTAAGTAATGATTACAAATAATGGATTCATTTTTCATTTCCATAAGTAATAATCCATTTTATTCTATTCCCATGAGTAATAATCCCAAATAAACAATACATTTTTCATTTCCATTTTTTATTCCCATAATAATTCATTTTTTTTTATTCTCATAAGTAATACCATATATACTCATGTATCATGCGACCCTTGAGAACCTCGTCTTGAAGCAAATTTGACTATAGTAAATGGATATATAGTTTGGTCAAAGGACCAGCAGTACATACAGTAATTTTATATCTTGTGTATGATGCGACTGCCCCCTAAAAATTAGTTCCAAATTAGGTCTTCAAAAGTCATGTGATACATGAGTATATGCAGTAATCCCAAATAAAGGATCCATCTTTTCATTCCTTTAAGTAATAATCCCAAATAAAGAATTAATTTTTCATTTTCATCTTTTTATTTCCAAAAGTAATAAATAAAACTAACTGCCTATTGCTTCATTAATATCATCCATCACAAACACATTTATCCAAATTCTGTCTCAAGGTGCAACACTCTTAGGTTCAAGATAAAAATGATATTAGAGTTGTTTTTTTGGTACAGAATTCTGTGGATACCTTTCAAAAAGTACTAGCTACAAGCATAACAAACTAAACCAAGACCACTTCATGAAAAAAAGAGAAAAATGGTAAAAGAATCTACAAAAGTAGGCTGAGTGAAAACATAGCCATTCTCAGAGACAAAGGCAGATTAATAAGTGTGTGGAACACAAAAGATTGGTACAGTACCATCAAACCAGTTTCTACTTATGTAAGGACGTGAGCAAGTGTAAATCCATGGTAGTGTCTTGGTTAAGGATCCAGGACTCATCAGCACGGGGAACCAGTTCATTTTTGGTCTGCTAAAAGCTATATAAAACTCAAGTGGATCCTAGCTGAACAAATTCACTTGAAAAGTGAAACACAACAAACATGATACATATTCTGTTACATTAAAAAGTAAAACAGCAAAGAGACAAAAGAAAAATTTTAAAGTAGAAGAGTTTGAAAATTTTTACAGTTATTCTTTGAAAATGTTCCTTGTCATTAACAAAATTTGGAGAATATTAAAAATAAATGTAATAATTTCATAGTGAAACTCCCTATGAACATGTGTAGGGGCTTAAAAATGAAAGCAGTAAAAGTGGTTGCTGCATTTGTGTATATTGTATGTAGTTCAAGATTTTAATGAAAACCAAAAATATTGAATTTCAGTTTTTATTTACAAAGTTAACCATTTTTTTCTAGAGTCTAAACAAGTAGTATAAGCAGTTGATTTAACTGCATGTCCAAATATATATGATATATACAATTTGTCATTTGATTATTAAAGATGTAAGATTTGTTTAAATAGACTCACAAATGCAGTGAGAAAATATATTAAATTGTATCAAAAGGTGACAATTGTCAATTGCTTTTTTTTTTCTTCTAAATTTCTTATATGAACTTTTGCAATTATTTTTTTTTAATTCTATAAAAGATAGAAAAGTATTATAGTAGTTTTTAAAGTTAAGTTAAAACACAGGATGGCAACATTGAAATCAACAGGAACAAAAACATTTTCATCTGAAAAATTTTTATGAGAAAAAATATAGCAAATACATGCACAGTAATCACAAAGTTTTGATGGAATTTTAAAATTGTGTAAATGAAAAAGTGAGGAAAGTTAAGAAATGAGAGGATGAATTTGTTCAAACATATTTGATAGTGAAATACAAATCTTTTTTTCTGGGACTCCAGATATACATAAAATATACAAAAATATTAAAACCTGGTTTACCTTAAAGAAATAGAATTAAAAGGAAACACTAAAAAAAAAAAGAAAAAAGACAAAAAAAAAGAAAAAAGAAAAAAAAAAAAAAAGCACAGCTTTTAATGAGCTGTGAACCAGCACAAATTTGTATTTTTTTTTCTTTTTTCCATTTTGAAACATCAGTATGTTCAAATAATGCAGACAATTCAAAAATACGATGAGCAAATAAGTATCTCCCACACAGAGGGCAGAAATTTAAAAAATCTCTTCACCTATGAAGATAGTATTTTATACAGGCATCCAAAAATTCAATTATGGTGTACAAACTATTATAAAACAAGATCAGATGAGCTCCTTTGCCAACACACAACAATTCTAAACTGTACCACAATTGTACATGCAGTGTGTGTGTGTGTGTGTGTGTGTGTAGGTAGTTATTAAATGAGAATGAATGGATGACTATGATATATGTATATCAATAACATTTGCATGTGTGCATCAATTTGTAATCTATATATTTAACTATACATTGTTAAAATTTCTCGTTTATCTTGGAATTAAATCCTTACCAGTAATCAAAAAGTATGTCTGATAGAGATGTATTCTTAGACATCCTATTTTTCTGCAGGATAAAAGTATTGAGCATTGATTTAATATCACACACCTTAACAGATAAAAATTTAAGAATAATAAATAATATTCAAATAGAAGTTTGTCATCAACAAAATGCTTACTTTAAACCTTTTCAGAACAGAAAAACTCTTTAACAACTCTTGGTCTGTTCGTCAAGTTGATTTTTTTTTTTTTTTTTAAATTAATTTCAAATTTACATTTAACAATTAATGCTTTTCTTTAACAATGCTAATTTTTATCCAATTAATAGGTGAATTAATAAGACATTTAGACTATTATAATATATAAAAATAATAATAGGTCTTTATCTGATAACATTATCACTAAAATTTGAGAGACAATTTAGGCTTTAATAATTTGTAAAGGAAACTGAACTATATAATCTTACTTGAATACTTTGACATTTCATGAAATATTTTTTCAGCAAAATAAACAGGCTGATCTTAAATCCTTCACAACTGAATGTAAAATGTCTTTTGAAATCAGAAATAATCTAAAATATAAAAATAAACTTATAAAAAGCTAAAACTAAATTCACTTCCTCAAAGCTAATTTTAAGAAAAACAAATATGTGAACAAATTAAACATTATAATAGTAATAATAGTTTTGTACGGAGACATTTTACAGAAACACAACTGCTTCAGAGAATTAAAAATAAATACTTTTCACGTTAGTATTATTACTGAAAAAAAAAAAAAAAAAAAAAAATTATACATATAAATTCTAAATTATAGGAGTAAAAAAAAAAAAATGATCCCATCTTTAAGTATAATGCAACTTAATATTTGCTTCTAAAATGTCAAACTGGTAGCCATTTTGTTTAACAAAGTATATAATAAATAATTAAAATACACAAGTTTAAACATCATGACGTAAGCAATAACACTATTTTGTTTTCATTCATAACAATTCTGATATGCACTGAGTTTTTACTTTCTCTGAAATCAAGTATGTATATTATGCAGAAATCAAGCTGTTATTGGATGAAAAATATGCTCTCTCCCCATGTGTCCATGCTATATATATATATATATATATATATATGAGAGAGAGATTTTAAAATTTGTTATATTTATGAGGGGAAAAGTGTTCATTGTTGGGGATTGAACCTTCTAAATTCAGATTTTTGATCATTTGAAAATAACAAATGTCAAATTTAATAAATATGCAAGCAGAAAAGTTCAAGATTGGAAGTATAATAAAGTAACAGCATTTTGTAAAATAATGGAGATTAGGGAAATTTTTTTTTAAAGGTATGAAGAATCAAATTCAGTAAATCTTTTTTTTTTTCCTACATAGTTTAAAACTAAGGCAAATTTTATTACTATCCCAAATCTGAGAGTAGTTTTAGATATAGTGAACATTTTTATGCATGGGATATGGCCAAATCAGTGCATCCACTTTTTATTTTTGTTAAAATGTAGGTATATCAGTACTGTTTAGTAGATTCTGAAACTTTTGAGAAAGACTATATATATTTTAGGATATTAAACAGAAAGCATGTCAAAATCACTACACAATTGTTCTATGCATATCAATGCATCTCATCAGATGATTGTAAATTACTGGAGAGTGAATGATTTATAATATTGCTTTACT